TTCCATGCATCCCAAGCGACAGGACCTGGGTTTGATTCCCGGGCTCAGTGGTTAAAGCACTTGCCTCACAAGCGAGGAAATGGGTTCTAATCCCCAGCAGAATGAAATGTTAGATAAGTTTCCTTACTCCACACACCTGTTTACCTAGCAGTAAATAGGACCCCGATTATTAGCTGATTGGCGGATCGCTTTTCCAGGGGTAATAATCACTTCAAAAACATAATTGGAATAAATAATTTGGTCACTCAATCCATGACTGTTTGTCAGACATTGCTTCTGCATTTTCCCCACAAAGTACACAGTCAATTCACTTGACATTGTATCTGTGGTGTGCATTGCGATGTCTCAAAAATGAGATAAGGTGCTCTATCAAATGCAAGGGTTATTATGTACATATATAATATATATATTCATGAAAGGAAATAGCTACCATTATAGAATTATTAAGCACCAGATAGAATTATTTGAAGAAGCATCAGATAAAATAGACGAGGAAAATGCAGTGGAAATGACCTTAACTGTTTACGCTAAACCAATCCAGCCAGACTCAACAGCTGTCTGTGGCTGAGTGTGCTGGTCACAGGGGAGGGGGTTGGGTTTTTTCCTATTTAACTCCTGATTAAATTTTAATTCCAGTTCTATCCCATTCATTGAAACAATGTGTTTCCTATTCTTTCTTCTTAAATGTAATAATACATTGCACTTATCTGTATTAGACTCAATATATCAGTGTGGACAGTTAGGGATTTAGACCTGAGCTGGGGGTTGGGATCAGTAAAGCAGGGGAGGGTCGGGGCAGGGAGGGAAGGAGGGTGCCCGAAGGCACAGTGGAAAGAGGAGAGTCTTGAGATGGTGCCTTGAAGGAGGTGAGGGAGGGAGTGAGGTGAAGGGAATGTGGGATGGAGTTCCAAAGGGTGGGGTCAGAAAGACCGAAGGCTTGTGATTTGAATAAGTGAACGCTTAGCTTCTGATCTTCAGTTATTCTGTTTAGCATCTCCTTCCTTCCTACATCAATTTCCATTTTCACCAAATTATTTTGACTTCGGCAAGTTGCGAATGGAAAGTCTTCAGGCGTGATGTGAAAATGGGGAAGCAGGTTCGAGGCAGAGGGTCTGCGGGAGAATTCCAAAGTTTCAGGGCCTAGTGGCTGAAGTTACAGCCGATGGTGGTGGAGCGGGGGAGACGAGCAACAAGCAGGATGCCGGAGCCAGCCAAGTGGAGGCGACGGGCAGCGGAGTGGGGAGTAAGGAGGATCTTAGATGTAGGGAGTTCTCAGGTCATGAAAGGATTTATAGGCGAGTGTGACGATCTTGATGTTGATCCGTTCTATGATGGGGAGCCAGTGAAGTGCCTCGCAAGGACTGGTGTGATGGGGATAAGCGGTTTGGCCCAGATGAGTATTCGGGGGTTGTGTAGATTTGGATTCGAGGAGAAGGCCTCCCTCAGGAGAAAGATTTCAGATTCGATTCAAGTCACAGGAAAATATTACGTGTAGCTGGCATACAAATAATAATAATAATCCTTGCATTTGATATAGCTCCTTATCACATTTTTAAGATGCTCAAGGTGTTTCACAGAATATACTGTAAAATGAATTGATTGCATATTTTGAGGGCGAAATGCAGCAGCCAATTGCGCACAGCAGCGTCCCACAAACAGTCGCGAATTGAGTGACTAATTTATTATTTTTTTGAAGCAAATATTACCCCAGGAAAAGAGATCCACCATTGACTAACAACTGGGTTCCAACTTACTGCTAGGTAAACAGAGGCGTGTGGAGTAAGGAAACTTGCCTAACATTTCGCCCTGCTGGGAATTGAACCCGGGCGAGGCGAGTGCTCTAACCACTGAGCTCCAGGACTCCACTGTGCAATGCGGAACTCTTAGTTTAGTAACGGCTTTAAGACTTTTCGACGATGTTATAAGGTGCTATATTTAACACAAAGGTGATAATAATAATAATAATAATAATCCTTGCATTTGGTATAGCGCTTTTCACGTCTTCTAGATGTCTATGTGATGCTTTTATTATATTGTTATAAAACTGGTAAGATCGCTGATTATTCTGGCATGCATCCAGTTGACCAAATAAAGTTTGGAGACTAACATTTAAAATTCTGGGCCAACCAAACCACTATCGTTTTTGGAATCTTTTTATGTTTTCGTTTTGGATCTCAAATGTGAATCTGCTGTTTGAATCTCAGTCTTCTTCTGTGATTCTGCTTATAGTATAAAATACTCAGTTGATGTACATTCTATATTACTTTATATGGTTGCATTAGGTTTTGTTTGTACCCGTTAACGTTTTATATTTTCTAATGATCTTTGTTAAATAACAGAGATGACGTCTTCCTGTCTTAATGTGCGGTGACTGTGACTAATGTCAATAATGATGCAGATCATACGCTCTCCAGAGGTTTGCGCCATCTCAATCGATTAGTTGGGAGTCGTTATTTGGGCAGCAAAGCACCTGCTGCTGTCCTATCATGGGACTTTTAATAATGTATAACATAGAAGCAATTTACTACCCAATTCTTGCGATAGCTGGAGTTCCAAGTAGATTTTAGAGCTTTCTTACTGGTTTTAGAATTCAGAAGTTGGCATTATGGCAACATGTGTGTCCTGAAATATTTTCCTTCAGTTGTTTCTTTACCTATTTTCTAATTAGTCATGAAGTAAATAATCCTTACATTAATGTAGCAAAAAGATAGAATCTTGAGGTACACGACAGATGATGTGGGGTTGGTGGGGTGGGGGGTAACCATTTGAGATGAAATGATGGCAGTGGGATAAATAAGACTTGGATAAGATCAGGAGAGGACAGCCCAACTGTAGTGGTGAGTGAGGAGGTGCGGTCGAGGGTGATAGCATGGCCCACGGTGTCAAAAGCAGAGAGTGCCAGGAGGTGCCAGAGGCAGAAGACACCATTTTAACCCTGATGAGGCTGTGTCAGTGCTGGGAGCAGGGTGGAAACCAGAATGGAAGGGCTCCAGAAGTGAGTGGGAGGATCGGTGTGAGCAACAAGACGTTTCAGGGCTTTAGAAAAGAAGGTCTGAGATGGGCTGATAGTTTGCAAAGTTTGATGGATCAAGGATGAGGTTTTTGAGGAGAGATATGATAACCTTGGGTTTTAGGAGGGGTTGTAGTAGAAAATGGAAAGATTGACTATGTGCTGGAGTGGGGTTGGGGTAGGGGGGGTGGTACAGTTGGTCAGTAGTTGGGTGAGGAGGGGTGTGGGAGCAGGCAGTAAGTTTATCTGATTGATGAGGATTTTGAGGAAGGATATAGAAATGTACAAAGGAGTGTAGGGAATGGGCAGCAGAAGAGGAAGTAAAAGTAGACACAGGTTGGCCAGAGACCAGCCTTGGGTCCGCAGTAGGTGCATTGGGTGATGCAGCTGTAGTTTATTGAGCAAAACCGCTTATCATTGAAACCAGTATCTGGTAAGGAAATCCCGTTTTATCTCCCTCCCAGGAATAGTGTCACGAATTGGTCCCTTCTCAACTGAAGGAATGCATTTCTGACAGAGAACCCCATTGACTGTATTGGAGTATCAGCCCGGCTAGGCCTTCAGTGGCTGAACTTCTGAGTTAGTGATTTCAACTGAGGCAGGTGGAGACCAAAAATAACAGAAACATGTTTCTGCCAGATTTCAGAGGTCAACGCCTGCTGAATCCACCCCTACCTGGGGATTTTATTTTGTATTATTTCAACATGATTTGACATACTTTCGTTTCTTTTTTTCTTGCAAAAACGCTGTTCAGTGATGCTGCGAGGCCTGGTATTGCACCATGATATTTATCATATTTATCACCTTTACCATTTGCTGCACCCGCCATCTTGAAAACTGGGCCAAACAGTGGGACAGAATCATTGTTCTGCACGGCCTAAGGGAGGGAATCGAGGGAATTGATAGGAAGACACAAGGGACATCAGCCACACTTGTTAATTCTTATTGGTACCTCGGGGTCAGGTAGGAAACTAACTGCAGCCTGGACACTGTCCTGATGGACCGTACTGAGAAGGGGCAAAGGGCACTCTGGTCATGCTCATTCCTCTTCAAGGTCTGCAAGATCCGAATGCTGGTCAAGCGTGAGTATCTGGATCAAGCAGCTGGTGCTGAGTATTGAGTTCCAGCTTCTCGTACTCGGTTTGAAATCCTTTCATGCCCTGGCACCTCCCTATGACCTGCTTACCCCCCAACCCACAACTCGCTGCCTCCACTCAATTGGATCTGGCCTTCTGCATGTCCGTTGTGCCCTCTGTTCCACCATTGGTGGCCGCGATTTCAGCCACCACACCCCGAAACTCTGGAACACACTAACACACATTCATATACACACACAATAAAACACACCCAGACACACACATTAACACGTGCACTAATATACACACAATAATATGCACACTCGGACATACTAACACAATAACACACCAACATACACTCACACACAGACATACTAACACAATAACACACACATTCACACACACAATAACACACACAGACACACACAATAACTAATGCACACACCATAACATACACACAAACACACACTCAGAGACACACGAACACAGTCTGTGTCTCACACACAGACATACCAACACAGTAACACACACACACATTCACTAACACGCTCACAGACACACACACACAATAACACACACAGACGTACAAATGATTACACACCGACACACAGACACACACACACATTCACTCACACGCAAAAACACACACTCACAGACACACACACAAAATAACACACACTCACAGATAATAACACAGACGCACAGAGTTAGAAACAGAGACTGAAGGAGAGATTGAGATGGACTCTCTTCCTCTCTCACTCAGTCTCTCTCTCTCTCAGTGACTCTCTCTTGCTCCGGGCAATTCACTGTTTAAAAACCTGTCAACACTGAAATTTTCTCGGAGCTGTTAACTGACAATCAATAATCTCTCTGTCACCCTCTCTCTCTCTCTCCGCCTCTCTCACTCACTCTCTTGCTCAGTCACTGTGTAAGTGTAAGTGGTGAAGCTTTGTGAGACGTCTCTCTGGGGGTGAGTGAAAGGCGCTGTGTAAATATAGGTGGTGAAGAGTTGTGAGACGTCTCTCTCTCTCTTTCTGACCTTGAAATCTCTTTCTAATCCTCATCTGACCTGATCCTGAATTGGAAACAAGTGGATTATGTTAACACAGGAAACATCTCACAAGCTTATAGAGAAATAATCACATCATGTCTGTATTTTGGTCAGAGAGAGACTGAGCGAGAGAGCGAGAGACTAATTGAGAGACTGAAAGACAGACCCTGAGAGAAAGAGATGGACTGAGAGAGAAAGCGACAGAGAGAGATTTAGAGCGACAGAGAGAGTGAGAGACTGATAGAGAGAGACTGAGAGATAGATAGACAGAGAGAGAGAGAGACAGAGACAGAGAGCGAGAGAGACCGAGAGCGCGAGCGAGACAGAGAAAGAAACAGAGAGAGAGACACTGAGAGAATGATAGAGGGCGAGACTCAGGGAGAGACGGAGAGACAGTAAGAGACTGATAGAGATAGACTGAGAGAGAGAGACTGAGAGAGAGCGACAGAGAAAAAAATTGAGAGAAAGACGCAAGAAGAGAACCTGAAAGCGAGAGTGAGAGAGATTAAAAGAGAGAGAGAGAGAGAGAGAGAGAGAGACGGAGAGAGTGTCAGAACTCTTGAGGAAAATGTGCCTGGTGTAAGTGGGTTCCTACTTACTGCTCTGTGTTCAGTGTACGTGTGGAGTAAGGAAACTTTCCTAAGGTTTCACCCCGACCGGGAATCGAACCCAGATTCTCTCGTTTGCGAAGGGAAGGGAAGGGAAGGGAGGGACTGAGGAGATCACACCATCTCCAGGTTGTGTTGAGTGTCGAGTTGACGTCTCTCTCTCTCTCTTCCATTCCAGGCACCTGACTTTCTGTGACCCCTGGTGACCCTTGGTGACATCCAGTGACATTTGGTGACCTTCACTGATCTAGATTGACCTCCAGTGATGTTTGGTGACCTGCAGTGATCTCGAATGACCTCTGGTGGCCTCTGGAGACCCACATTGACCTTGTTTTCCTGCTGATACCTGGCAATCTCTGTTGAGCTTGTCGACCATTGGTGAACTCTGATGACCCCCTCGGTGACCCTTGTTGACCTCTGTTAACACCCTGGTGACCTCTGTTGACCTCTGGTACCTCCATTTACTCCTAGTGACCTCTGTTGACCCTGCAGTCAGTTAATGGGTGTGGTCAGAGCCCAGATGGCCCCAGCCCTGGCCAGCGAGGAGGAGGAGGGGGCAGGGCCGGGGGAGGGCCCCAAAGCCACCCAAAACGGCCAATCCCAGGCGCAGCCCCAGCCCAGACCCCGCCTCCCACCCGGCCACCAAAGCCGATTCGTCCAGAAAGACGGACACTGCAATCTGGAGTTCGTGAACATGGAGGGCAAAGGTCAGCGTTACCTGACAGACATCTTCACCACCTGTGTGGACATGCGCTGGCGTTGGATGTTCCTCCTCTTCTCTGTCTCTTTCCTCAGCTCCTGGTCGCTCTTCGGCCTCACCTATTGGCTGATCGCCTCGGCCAATGGAGACCTGGAAAGCTCTGCGGACCGACCGGGACGTGACCCCTGCTTCCTGCACGTCCGCACTTTCCTGGCCGCTTTCATGTTCTCTCTGGAGACGCAAACGTCCATCGGCTATGGGGTGAGGACGGTCACGGAGTCATGTCCACCGGCCGTCATCACCGTGGCTCTGCAGTGCATTGCTGGCTGTGCTCTGGATGCCTTCCTAATCGGGGCCATCATGGCTAAGATGGCTCGGCCCAAAAAACGCAACGAGACGCTCCAGTTCAGCCACCACGCCGTGATCACCCAGCGGGACAGGAAGCTGTGCCTCATGTGGCGAGTGGGCAATTTGAGGAGGAGCCATTTGGTGGAGGCCCATGTGCGCGCACAGCTTCTGCGTCCCCGGGTCACCTCGGAAGGCGAAGATCTCCCGTTGCACCAAGAAGACATCGACGTGGGTTTCGACCAGGGCACAGATCGTGTCTTCCTAGTTTCCCCTCTCACCATCGTACATGAGATAGATGAGGACAGCCCTCTGTATGATCTGGGAGCTCGGGATCTGGAAATGGCTGATTTCGAGATCATCGTCATATTGGAAGGAATGGTTGAGGCCACGGCTATGACAACCCAATGTCGCGGGTCCTACATTCCAACGGAGATACTTTGGGGCTTCTGTTTCGAGCCTGTGCTGTTTGAGAAAGATGGACATTATGAGGTTGACTACACCTACTTTGAGAGAGTTTATCAGGTCCTCAGCACTCCCCTCTGTAGCGCAAGAGAGATGGCAGAGCGCAAGTATATCAATGAGCAGCCACCCGGAACCTTCTGTTACGAGAACGAGGTGGCTATTTTGGACCAGGCTGGTCCTGATTTGCTGGGCGAGGAAACTGCCATCCATTGCCCCCAAACTACGCCCAATCTTGAACCCCAAAACGCCAATAGTTGGCTTCAACAGGCCCTGACGTGATTGGCCCCATGGCAACCCATCTCTCTCGCACCTCAATCCATCCACTGATCCTCCAAGTCTCCAATCATCTCCCTCTCACACCTCAAACCATCCCCGACTCCCGAAAGTCTTTCTCACTCTCTCACTTTGAAATGAGATCTCTTGTTTTGTATCCCTGTGTGAAATAAATGTTTATTTCTCTCTATTTTACTCATTCACTCAGTTTGTGTGTGTGTGTGTCTGTGTGTGAGTGTGTGTGTGTTAGGGGCTCAGTGACAGAGCCGGGACATCCCGTTGTGCATATATGTGTGTTTGTGTGCGTCTGTGTGAGTGTGTGAGCGTGAACATGTGTGTGTTTGTGTGTGTGTGATTGTGTGTGTTGAGAAAATATGAAAGAGAGAAAACAATTCACTGTAAAGTGTAGTGACTGTGTATTTAGCACCCATTTGCGCACAGCGATGTCCCTGCAAACAGCCGTGAAGCGAGCGAGCAGTTTTATCTGTCAAATGTCGGGATCAGTCAATACTTATCGATTGTTAGCCTAGTTATGCGCACGGAAGCCTAGGGCAAGGGTTAATGAGAGCCTGAACTGTGGGTGAGAAAAAAGAGAAAGTGCTATTGATTTAGCCTGGGGCGAGAGAGACAGCTTTACTGTGTCTTCATATAATAGTAATAATAATCCTTGCATTTGATATAGTGCCTTATCACGTCTTTGAGATGTCTCAAAGCGCTTCACAGAATTGACTGTATTTTGTGGGCGAAATGCGGCAGTCAATTGTGTACAGCAGCGAAACACAAACAGTCATGGATTGAGTGACCAAATTCACTGGTTTCAGGGGAGGTCAGAGTATTGACAGAATGGAATCATTCACCTCCCAACAGAACAAACTAACGGAAAAACAAGACTTTTTTTTAATTTTAACCTTGACCTAGGAGTGTGGATGGACGCACAGTGTAGAGGGAGCTTTACTGTGTCTCTAATCCTGACCTAGGAGTCTGAACGGAGAGTGTAGACGGAGCTTCACTGTGTCTCTAACCCTGACTTGGGAGTGTGGACGCACAGTGTAAGGGAGTTTGAGTTAAACTATCAGCACCTGATATGAATTTGGTATTTTAGATATTGTGAAGTGTTTAAATATCTCTTTACTTCACGTCTCATTCCTTCCCATTTAAGGACTATGTCTATTTATGTGGAGTCCTGCAGTGTAGTGGTTAGAGCACTCGATTTGCAAGTGAGAAGATCTGGGTTTGATTTCCGGGCATTGCATTACCCAAGTTTCCTACTCCACACACACGCCTCTGTTTACCTAACAGTAAATAGGAATTCGCTTGTTAGTCGATTTGCAGATTGCTTTCCGGGGGTAATAATCCCTTCAAAATAATAATAATAATAATGTGGTCACTCAATCCATGACTGTTTGTGGGACAGTTTGTGCGCAATTGGATGCCGTGTTTTGCCCACAAAAAATATGCAGGTAATTCACTTTATAGTATGTTCTGTGAAACGCTTTGAGACGTCTTGAAGTCACAATAAAGCGCTATTATCAAATGCAAGGATTATTAAGATTATTTGGTCAGTAAAGTAACCTGACAGATCGTGGCGTCTGACTATTGATGATCAGAGGCTGAATGGCGTCACACCAGCCTGCTCGCCAGGGGTCAGAGAACCCCCACCCTGCTTTCACAGATACCTGCTGGAGCACGAGATCTCTCTACCTTGGACATTTCTGATGGATTCTGGAGCATTGCAGTCGATCCAGACAGCCAGTACAAGTTTGCTTTTACATTCGGCGATCAGCAGTATACATGGACCTGCTTACCACAATGGCTTCCCAACGGCCTGACAATCTTCCATCTTCCCCAAACAAGAATGCGTATTGCGGTACATGGATGATCTGTTACTTGCTACTGAAACAGAAGTGGAGCTTGTCCAGTTATTAGAAGAATTGCTGAACTTGTTGTATTTGGCCAAATTTAAATTAAATCTGAAAAAGTCTCAACTGGTGGCTGCAGAAGTCGAGATTCTGGGGATTGTCGGATCTCGGGTTAACCTCTCTCTCAATTCTCCAGCCACACTCCCAGGTCATGGTTGGAGACAGAGGTAAGCTCCCTTTTCACTGTCCATCAATATTCTGGTCCTGGAGTCGAAGGTGGAGGCAGAGAGATAGAGTTGGGTGATCTGCATACACGTGGAAGTTGACCCTATCACCAAAAGACGGTGTGGAGGCTGGATGAGATACTGTTTGTGGAGACAAATGGATATGGTGCGAAAGGTAGGATTTGAATAGTCAAGGACAGAACCATGAAAGTTAGGGCTGAGAGGAGAGGCGATGGAGGAGGATAGAGTGTGGGAGTCAAGGAGTATGGTTTCTGTCTTGTCGACATTTAGTCGCAAGAAGTTTGCACTCATCCAATCCATGATGTCTGCCTGACAAGCCGACAGAGCATTGGTGGACCAGGAGTTGCAGCTGGAGGAGAAGTATATGTGGAAGTTTACCCCATATCTGCGGATGACATCGCCAAGGTAGTTTATGTAGATGAGGAAGAGGAGGAGGCCAAGGATGGAGTCCTGGGGTACAACACAGGTGCCGGGCGAGTGCGGAAGGAGAAACCATTTGGAGAGACAAAGTGAAACCGGTTTGTTTGGTCGGATTCAAACCAGGATAGTGCGGTCCCACTAAAATGGATGAGGGAGGAGAGGTGGAAGTCCGGAGGTTGGGTGTTCAGCAGCTGGGTGGGAAGTGAGTCGAGGGAGCAGGTGGTGGGCTTTATCTGGGAGATAGTGGTTGAGAGAGAGGATGGAGTAATCGGGATGAAGTAGTGCAGGAAAGGGGGAGTTGTTGGGCCCCTATAGGAAGGAGTGAGCGGGTGGGGAATCTCCCTGGGCTTTCAAAGGATGGGCCATAATCTCTCCCTGAAGGGACGCACCTGCTTAAATACTTCAGAAGAGGTTTCTACACAGGTGGGCAAGATCCAAGGCTTGGGGACTCCTGGGAGCGCCTGAGGTAAGATTGAAATGCTATTGAAATGCTTCAAATGCTATATGAAATACTAATAATAATGATTTGATCACTTCAATCCACGACTGTTTGTGGGCCACTGCAGTGTGAAATTGGCTGCTGCATTTCGCGCACAAAATATACAGTCTTTCAGTATATTCTGTGAAGTGCTTTGAGACGTCTCGAAGATGTGATAAGGCGACATTAAATGCAAGTATTATTATTATTAATATTGGACTTTTACAGTTAAAAGCGAAATCATCGAGCCCAAGAATAATACTCCATACAATTCCAATATGATTTTCTACATTTAGATTTCACACATCTAGTCATAAATGACATGATCGGATTGCTTCTTCATAGACCTTTATATCTGCCACAAATGACACATTTAGTCTTCACTGTTTATTTCTAACCCCTCCCTCCCTGGGTCGCTTTTCGCGCTATTGAATAGTTTACATTTCCTTCCTTGTCCAGCACCATGGGACGTCCTCTTGACGTGAAAGGCGCGGTACAAATGTAATTTGGTATTGCATTATCACGTCGTTGAGTCGTTTCGAAGCGCTTTACAGAATACACTGTTAAGCGCTCCGAGACACTACCCCACATGAAGAGTGCTATATAAATGAAAATTGTTGTTGTTGTTTTACAGAGATGTAGTACAAGAACAACTTAATAATAATAATAATCCTCGCATTTGATATAGCGCTTTTCACATCGGGAAGACGTCCCAAAGCGCTTCACAGAACACACTGTAAAGTGAATTGACTGTATATTTGTGGGCGAAACGCAGCAGCCAATTGCGTACAGCAATGTCCCACAAACAGCTATGGATTGAAAATGACCAATTTATTATTGCTTTGTTTTGAGGGATTATTATTAGGCGTGTGGAGTAACGAAACTTGCCCAAGGTTTCGCTGTGCCTGGAATTAAACCCAGGTGTCTCACTAGCAAGGCGAATGCTCTCACCACTGAGCTACAGGACTCCACTTGCGTTTGCACCGTGGCCTTCAGTCAATAATGGTCCAGAAACACTTAATAGTGGTGAGCTTGATGCAGAACCAGCGAGAGAGAGGGAGAGAGAGAGATAGAGTGAGATAGCAGCCACCATAAACACGGCTGAATAGGAAGATTTTCAGGCGCAATCTGTAAGAGTGGGCAAAGTGAGACGATCCAGGCATAGAGGTCCAGATATTCCCGGCTGAAAGCACGGGTGCTGATGAAAAAGAGGGGCGGAGGGACGTGCAGGAGGCTGGAGCTGGTGAGGAAGGGAGACTGCAGTTTGGTGGGATGTGAGCAGGTTTGAGAGGTGGACAAACAACACCAACATCAGCAGATCTTTATATGGCACCATTCATCTTGTGTAATGTTTTGCAGCTCTTTACATGGGTTGGTTTGGTATCTGAGGAAGGAGGAGAGGTGGCCAGAGGTTCATTCAAAGAGGTAGAATTTGAGGCGGGACTAAATATCTAAATAACTGAAATGCAGGGTGGAGAGAGAATGATAGGATCAGGATCTTCAGAGGTTTATGTTGTAGGAAATAAAGATTTAGTCACTTATGGATGGAAGTACAGGAAACATGGGGGAGGCAGGCGTAGCAAAAGCTGCATTAGCTGAGGAGAGGGGTGAGGGAGAAGCGGAGAAGATTCGAGAGAGAAAAGAGATTCCAGGGAATAGTTGGTTGAATATGTGAGTGTGAGGACCATGAAACTGATCTGCTGGTAGATATAGAGCTCTCCTGCCTGGGCTTCTCTGTCAGTTGTCTCTCTGTCTATAGCTCTGTCTTTCTCTCTCTCTGTCCGTCTCTCAGTCTGTCTCATTCTCTCTCTCTGTCAATCCCCCCCTCTCTCTCTCTCTCTCTCTCTCTCTGTCAATCCCTCTCTCTCTCTCTCTCTCTCTCTGTCAATCTCTCTCTCTCTCTCTCTCTCTCTGTCAATCCCTCTCTCTCTCTCTGTCAATCTCTCTCTCTCTCTCTCTGTCAATCCCTCTCTCTCTCTCTCTGTCTCTCTGTCAATCTCTCTCTCTCTCTGTCAATATCTCTCTCTCTCTCTCTGTCAATCCCTCTCTCTCTCTCTATCTCTCGCGGGTCCAGCATATCTTTCGCTCTCGTTCTCTCTCTGCCTTTCACTGCCTCTCTTGTCCTCTCTGTGCCTTGATTGCTTCATCTCCATCTCTCTCTTGTCTATTCTCTCTCACTCTCTCTTCTCATTCTCTCTCCACGACTCTCTCATTCTTTTTAATTTGCTCTCGCTCACTCTCTCCCTATCTCTTTTCTGTCTCACTCACATTATCTTGTCTTTTTGTCCAGTCCCTCTCGTTCATTCCGCATTTCTCTCTGTATCGTTTTCCCTTCCTCCCCCTCTCTCTCTCTCTCATTCTCTGTCTTTTATTGTTCTCTCTTGCCCTCTCTTCCAATTATCTCAGACCCCAACACCAGGGACATCCCAACACCGGGGACACCCTAACACCGGGGACACCCCAACACCGGGGACACCCCAACACCGGGGACACCCCAACACCAGGGACACCCCTACACTGGGGACACCCCAACACCGGGACACCCCAACACCGGGGACACCCCAACACCGGGGACACCCCAACACCAGGGACACCCCTACACTGGGGAGATGGAAAGGGTGGTTTGGGATGAAGTTCGGCACAAAATCAATCATTGGTTCCCAGACAATGCGGTGACAGAACTCACAACCCTGGGCATCACCGAGAAAAGCGTGAAGAAGCCAGACTGAGAGCGAAAGAGGCACGGAAATAGAGAGAGAGAGAGGGAGGGAGAGAATGAGAAAGAAGAGACAGAGAGTGAGCGAAAGAAGTATAGATCTGGAGACTGTGCGAACCCGAGAGCATGTGATCGAGCACGCGCGAGAGAGCGAGAGTATGAGAGAGAGAGGGAAAGAAATAGATATCGAGAAAGAAAGAGAAAGAACGATAGCCCCCGTGAATAAACAGGAGGATCCTCAGGTCCAGTGAGAAAGAGAAAGTGATAGAATGAGAGCGAGAGAGAGAGAGGGAGAGAAGAGAACAAAAGAGAGGGAATGAGAGGGAACATAAATCCTGTGCCCCAGTACGTCCCATTGGAACAAATCCCTCCTTTTTTTTGGCACACGCCGGGGGGTGGGGGGGCAGGGTAGTGGTCAGGGTTTTGGGGCCCTGTTTTCTCATCCCATATTTCTGGGGACGGGTCTGGCTTTGCAAACCCACTCCCAGACAATTCAGGCCACCTGACCCCCCTCTCCAGGCTGCCCGTCCCCTCTCCAGGCCGCCCGTCCCCCTCTCCAGGCCGCCCGTCCCCCTCTCCAGGCCGCCCGTCCCCCTCTCCAGGCCGCCCGTCCCCTCTCCAGGCCGCCCGTCCCCTCTCCAGGATGCCCGTACCCTCTCCAGGCCGCCCGTACCCTCTCCAGGACACCCGTCCCCTCTCCAGGCCGCCTGTCCCCTCTCCAGGCCGCCTGTCCCCTCTCCAGGACGCCCGTACCCTCTCCAGGATGCCCGTACCCTCTCCAGGCCGCCTGTCCCCTCTCCAGGCCGCCTGTCCCCTCTCCAGGCCGCCCATCCCCTCTCCAGGCCGCCCGTCCCCCTCTCCAGGCCGCCCTGCTGAATGCACGCTCAGTCTGTCTTGAAAGAAAAGCTCTGTGAAGCTATATTTTTTGGTCAGGTCATTGTCTTTCTCACACAGAATAAACGCTCTGTGCAGAAGAGCGGGGAGATCCAAATAGTCTAACCTCTTGCTGGACAGTGTGCTCTCAATGGCAAGCTTTGTGGTTAGACTCCAGCAGTTACCCCACGCATACTTTGGGGTCCCCAGGCCTTGGTTCTTCGCAACCTGTGCCTAATACTCTCCAGAACTAGGTAATCAGGGTGAGTTCCCACAGCGAGAGACACAGAGAGAGCACATCACATTCAAATAAACTGCCCGGGAAGTTCCAGGGTGGCTGTTTCGCTGTCTGGAGTCTAGGTCTGAGGCTGCCCTTTCACTGCTGGAGAGCTGGATTAAGGCCAACAGCCTGGGCAGATGGGGTGAAGTTCTCTGCTCTGATGGAAAGACTCGGAAGGGCAGACGAGGGTCAATAGTTCTCTGCAGAGGCAGACAGACGTAATTTCTGAGAGTGATAGACCTGGGTTGGCCCCTCTGTACCTGTGTGTGTGATGTATGTGCAGCTTGTGTATGGTATGTGTGCAGTATCTGTGTGTCTGTGTTTTGGTATCTGAGTGCTTCGTGTGCTTGTATGTGTCTATGGGTTTCTCTGTGTGCGATGTGTTTGTGTACGAGTGGGTTTGTGTGCCTGCGCGTTCCTGTGCGTGTGTGCGCGTGCAGTGTGGGAGTGCTCCTCTCACAAAAAAAACACAGTAAGTGCACCCGATTTAATTTTTACATTCCTTTAATTTTATTAAGCCTAGAAAATCTTGCGCTGTATTTGACCGCAGCCGCCCGCAAAGCGATCGAGACGTGCTGAGGTTAGTGCCTCCGCTCTGGGTGTCTGTGAATTCCATTCGAGGCGGAATGGGTTTGATGGCCGCGGTTTACAATCTCTTGCCGCTGATTCCGTCTCCGGGGCTCAATATCAGCACCAATCCTCATCAGTGACGGACTGCCGGAGGAACTGCTCACACAGCGCATTCTGCAACAACAGAGAGGGCATCATCAAAACCGTGTCCTAGTGCACTGCAAAACAGTACACACCTTTCACACCGTTCATGTGTCAGCCTGGCTCAATCGCTGCGAGTCAGCCTGGCTCAGTGGCTGTGTGTGTCAGCCTGGCTCAGTCGCTGTGTGTCAGCCTGGCTCAGTCGCTGTGTGTCAGCCTGGCTCAGTCGCTGTGTGTGTCAGCCTGGCTCAGTCGCTGTGTGTGTCAGCCTGGCTCAGTCACTGTGTGTCAGCCTGGCTCAGTCGCTGTGTGTCAGCCTGGCTGAGTCACTGTGCCTGGCTCAGTCGCTGTGTGTGTCAGTCTGGCTCAGTCGCTGTGTGTGTCAGTCTGGCTCAGTCGCTGTGTGTGTCAGTCTGGCTCAGTCAGTGTGTGTCAGCCTGGCTCAATCGCTGGGTGTCAGCCTGGCTTAGTTGCTGGGTGTCAGCCTGCCTCAGTCGCTGTGGATCAGCCTGGCTCAGTCGCTGTGTGTCAGCCTGGCTCAGTCGCTGTGGATCAGCCTGGCTCAGTTACTGTGTGTGTGTCAGCCTGGCTCAGTCGCTGTGTGTCAGCCTGGCTCAGTCGCTGTGTGTCAGCCTGGCTCAGTCGCTGTGTGTCAGCCTGGCTCAGTCGCTGTGTGTCAGCCTGGCTCAGTCGCTGTGTGTCAGCCTGGCTCAGTCGCTGTGTGTCAGTCTGGCTCAGTCGCTGTGTGTCAGCCTGGCTCAGTCGCTGTGTGTCAGCCTGGCTCAGTCGCTGTGGATCAGCCTGGCTCAGTCGCTGTGTGTCAGCCTGGCTCAGTCGCTGTGTGTCAGCCTGGCTCAGTCGGCAGCTGAAACACAGATGGAGACTCTCCTCACCTTTTTTACCTTCACGACATCCCGCACATGGTCTCGGTTTCTCTCCAGGGTTTTGGTCTCTTTTCGTGAAAGATGTCTTTTCATCCTAAACACAGCAAAGAAATTGTCTCAATCTCTCTCCCCGACCACACCGTGTGACTGACTGCCTCTTTCTCTTTTACTCTCAACAGTTCTCACTGTGTCTGTGCCCCAATTTCCCTACCTCTCTCAGTGCTCCCCCTCTCTCCCGCCCTCCCTCATTATTCTTCCTCTGTACATCCCTTTCTCTCTCTCATTCTCAGTTCCATGCTCTCTCTCCTCCCATCTCTCTCGCTGAACTTTCCCTCCCTCTCTCAGAATCTCTTGCTCAGTCTCTGTCTCTTTCTCTCTCAGTCTGTTTCTCTGTCAGTACTTTGCTGTCAGTTTGACTCTCAGTCTCTCCCTCTGTCTCTGAGTCTCTTCCTCTTTCTCTCGGAGTCTCTCCCTCTTTCTCTCGGATTCTCTCCCTCTTTCTCTCAGAGTCTCTCCCTCTCTTTCTCCGTCACACACTCGCTGCCTCTGGATTACTTACGCCGAATCGCTCTGTGACAGGAAAGTGGCGATAAAAGAAAACACAACCACGATGGCGACGGCCAACAGAGGACTGTCTCCACTCAGCCAAGCCCACACCGCGGCCAGCCGGCGCTGAGAGCGACAAAAACAGTGTTAACACGGCAGACAGTGTTGCCGACCTCCCAGAGGGCTGCAAAGTCATCCCCTCCCCGAGCCTGTGGTGGGCCTTCGGTCACCACGTCACCACCCTTCTCCATCAGGACTTTCCCTCTTATTTCCTTGAGCGCGATGGCGCGTAAAACCAAAGAACCTTTAAATGTGGAGCTTACAATGATACAAATTATATCCACCCGGTCTATTGTGTCTGTTCAAGCTGCACATTTAAACCAATGGACCTTTAATGTGCTTGAACATATACAAATCACACAGACTGTCTGTCCGTTTATGTCTCTGTCTGTCTGTCTGTCTGTCTCTCTCTGTCTGTCTGTCTGTCTGTCGCTCTCTGTCTGTATCTATTTCATCATCCGAATGATAAACCGTTTGCTAAAACACAAATCACTGCAGATGCTGGAAATCTGAAACAAAATCAGCGGTCGCTGGGTACACTCAGCAGGTCAGACAGCATCTGTGGAGAAAGGAAAGTGAGTCAACATTTCGGGTCCACGTGTGCTGTTCATGGTGTCCGTTATAAAAGGGTTATTATTATCCCAGAACTGCGATTCAAATGAAAGCGCATGATTTGTGGCGTTTTCATGAATCGTCCGGCTGGTGAGGCTGATTATCGACAACCCTGAACCGAGGTGCGAAAGCGAGATGGTAATTATAATCCCTACATCTGATGGGGTGCCTGTCATGTCAGAAGGGCCTCCCGGAGGGCTTCCCAGGCTTCAACGTTCAGTGTAGTTTGTTTGACGTGGCAGCCCCCATTTGTTCAAAGCCACAACGTTGCAAACAGCCGAGTAGCCAGAGGCAGGTTTATGTGTTGGCCAGGACAGATAAAGAGAGAGAGAGAGTGAGAGGGAAATAAAGGGTAAGAGAGAGAGAGAGAGGGAGAAACTGCCTTGTCATGTTGCGGGAGGTCTTCAACAAACGCCCTGAAGAGCACACGGTTCATTGTTTGGACGGTGCAATAGATAAAGACAGAGAGCGACAGAAAGATAGACCGGAGAGAGATAGACTGCAACCAGCAGAAAGACAGAAGAGGTCAGACAGACTGAGAGATAGAAAGATAGACAGAGGCAGAGAGACAGACAAATAGACAGAGTCAGAGACAGATAGAGACACGGAGCAGCAAACAGAGAGAGGGACAGTGAGGGAGAGAGACACAGAGAGAAGGATAGGGAAGGAATGGAGTGAGGAAGGGATGCGAAGATACATTGGAAAAGGAAGTATTGAAAATTTTTTGGAGAAGCCCTGAGTCCAACCTGCCCTGCCCACCCAACCAAGTCTATCTGAGGCCTTTATGCCCCCACCCTCTGTCCTGTGACACCCCTTCCCTTGCCTCCTTCAACATCTGTCTCAAGACCTTCCTCTTTGACCACGCCTTCAATCATCTTCCTAACCCACCTCCTTGACCGCCACCTCCCTCTCCCCCTCCTCCCCCTCCCCAAGTTCGGGTACGAACACCCCGACTGTCCAATGTCTCTGGATGTCCGCCTGACGTGATGGTGCAGTGTAAGCACTACTTGTACTGGCCATTGCCACGTGAGATGGTGGCGTAAGTACCGCATGGAGCTGGGCCGCCTCGGCCAGTCTCTCTCCCGTCGCGAGGGAGATGGTTTGTGTGGCCAGGAGGGGGACAATGGCAGCAGCCAACCAGGAGATGGGTACCAGGTAAGCAAGGCAACCGAACAGGCGGCGTCTCATCCAACCGCGTCTGCTCCTCTGGACCAGCTCCCTGGAAATGAACACAGACACACAAAGATTTAGAAAGGCTTTAATGTGTTAAAAGTTAAAATGTAAATAATAATACGGGGCTGATCAGGGTGATAGGTTTCCACGCGGGTCAGGCACCCGGCTGATCACGGGGACGGGTTTACCCGTATACCTGGGGTCTCCAGGGAACCCTCTTACCTGTCCTTCAGAAGCCTCTGGTTTGTCCTCTGCAACAGGAGCTCACAGTCGCTTTCCAGCTGCTCTAATGCTGTCTGCACGGCCTGGTTTACACTCTTAGTGATGGTTTTGCAGGTCTCCTCAATCTGATTCACACAGCTGCTGAGCTGGAAAAGCAAACCTTCTGGTTATTATGCAGCCAGTTTGCGCTCAGAGGCTGGGGGGGTGGGGTATTTGTCAGCCAGAATCTCTCTTCTCTTTTCCTCATTAATTTGTACAAAGCCAAAGAACGACACTTCCGGGAAGGGAGAGAAAATGACATACCTGGCTCAAATCAGGGATGTAGATGGTTTGCATATCAAATCCGCACTGGTTAAGTCCTGGTTTAGAGCAGAGTTGCTGAGTGACTTGGATTAACACCCGCTGTAAGAGATCAAAATTTACCAGAAAACCTCACCGTCAAATTACCAAAACCCTCACCATCAACGCAATTCTCATCAATCAACCAATCTTCCAATCATCAACAAACCCACACAACATTACCCCCATCTGCTGAGGATGGAGTGATGGTGTACAGGGTCTGGTGAGGATGGGGGTGATGGCGTGTGGAGTCCGGTGAGGAGGATGGGGGTGATGGCGTGTGGACACTGATCAGAATGGGAGTGTGTGGGGTGGGGAGGACGAGTGATGGTGTGTGGAGTCCGGTATCCTCACCTGCCGATCACACTCATTTCCAGCCGTGTCAGCTTTGCTCAGGTAAAACCGTAGCCTCTCCGCGTGCTTATGGTTAAGCTTCTCCACCACGCTCAGTGTCCGCTTACACAAAGCTTGTCCCATTGGCTCGAAAAACACGTAAATAAGATCAACCTTTTCACCTGTGGTGGAAAATAAGCCACCAGCCGTCACAGCACAACTTTACACAATATTCATCAATACTTGTTCTCTCCCTGTTCACCTTTAAATCCTGCCTCCTCGCCTTTTACTCACGCAACACCCACCCCCCCCCGCCCTCCATCCTTTACTCAGGCAGCTGCAGCCTCCTGTATGTTCCTCATCCCCTCTGCTCCACCATCAGCGGCTTTCAGCCATTCTCCCCGACCCTTGTCACTCCCTACACTACACTTCCACTTTTGCCTCTACTTCAGATTACACCTGAAGACATTCCTCTTGGAGCATGCCCACCAGTCCTCTCTCTCTCTCTCCCCACTGGAGGGAAGATCACTTAATTACGGAGAGTATTCGGTGCAGGTCGGTGAGCCCAGAGTGCGCGCTGGGTACTGATGAAGTCTCACATATCTTGCCATTGAAAGTGCTGATTGACAAAGCTTTCCCACCACTCTGACCCGCTAGTATTTTGCGCTTTGTCTTCCCAGGTTATTGGGAGCTGAATAGGAAGAGTCCCTGCCCCCAGTCTGTCTGCCTGTGTCCTGCTGAGGAGCTGAGTTCTGTAACAACAACAACAAAATTATACTTATATAGCGCCTTTCATGTCAGGAGGACATCCTGACTTTCCTGTGTGAGCAATCACAGAATTATGAGTTGTCTTAAGTGGACCAAAGAAAATCGCAGACTCTGTTCACTTCATCAATGCTGACTGTATAGCTCAAATGCATGAAAGTCAAGGCCAACGGAAAACGAGTGGAAGTATGTTTACAGCACAGTTTCACCATCATCACTGATAAGCTTCTTTTCGTGGGCAAATTGCTTGTTCTTAACTATACAATGGACATTAAATCTATCGTACTCAGACTTGTTTGAAACAAACTTTCGGAATTTTGGTAAAGGCGAAAAGATTTTGACAGCTGTGGATATCACTGACAGGTTGAGACTGTCTGACTCAAACAATGTTTTTAGTAAAGCTAAATTCCAGATATCTTGACAAGGTCAATGTGTACGTCTTTACAAAATATAAATGGATGGGAAACAAAGATTGATAGGTAAAACGGTAAACGAGCCATGGGAGGTCATCAAGGATTCCCTGGTTTCGATTCCCGGCAGGGTGAAACCTTGGACACGCTTCCTTACTCCACATGCCTGATAATAATCCCTCAAAAAAAAATTAATTAGTCATTTCAATCCATGACTGTTTGTGGGACATTGTCGTGTGCATTTGGCTGCCGCATTTCGCCCACAAATATGCAGTCAATTCACTTTACAATATATTCTGTGAAGCGCTTTGAGACGTCGAGAAGATGTGAAAAGCGCTATACCAAATGCAAGGATTATTATTATTATTTTTATTATTATTGTTATTAAGGAGGAGATGGTTAGGATATAGACCAGACACATCCAACGCTAGAGCTCCCTGGATGATTGAGGGAATAGCAATTAAAATGAAACAGAAAAAGGAGGTTCATGATAAATGTCAGGTTCAAAATACATGAGAGAATAACGCATAATGCAGATAGTGCAGAGGAGAACTGAAAAAGAAAATAATAGGGGCAAAGAAAGTGTATGAGAAAAGATTAGCAGGTAACATAAAAGGGAACCCTCAAGTTTTCTATAGACATATACAAGTAAACCCAAACATTTAAGAAAGTAAAAGGAAAGTCAAAGGAAGGGTGGGGCTGATTAGGGACCAACAAGAAAAACTTCTTGTGGATGCAGAGGGCATCGCTGAGGTACTCAATGAGTACTTTGCTTCTGTCTTCAAAAACGAGAAAGCTGCTGATGTCACAGTAAAGGAGGAGGAGGTGGAGAAATTGGATAAGATAAAAATAGTGGAGGTAATTAAAAGGTTAGCAGCGCTCAAAGTAGAAAAATCACCTGGTCCAGAGATGCATCCTACGTTATTGAGGGAAGTTGGGGTGGAAATAGCGGAGGCTCTAGCCACAATCTGTCAATCCTCCTTGGATGTGGGAGTAGTGTTGACTGGAGTGTTGCAAATGTTACACCCCTGTTTAAAAAAGGGGAAAGGGATAAACCTGGTAACTGCAGGCCAGTCAGCCTAACATCAGTGTCGAGAAAATTTCTAGAGACCATAATCTGGGGCAAAAATAATTTTCACTTGGAGACGCATAAGTTAATTAATGACAGTCAACATGGATTTGTTAAAGGCAAATTGTGTCTGACAAACTTAAGTGGTTATTTGATGATATAACAAGAACATTAGTACAGCGTCTTTCACATTGGGAGTACTTCCCAAGGCCCTGGGGAGAGGATTGATGAAGGTAGAGTAATTGATATAGTGTACATGGACTTTCAGAAGGTGTTTGATAAGGTGCCACATAATAGACTAGTTAGCAAAATTGAAGCCCATAGAATAGAAGGGCAGTGGCAGCATGGATATGAAATTGGCTAGGAGACAAAAAGTAGGTGAACAGTTGTTTTTCAGAATGGAGGGAAGTATACTGTGATGTCGCACAGGGATCAGTACCACTCCCCTCTGCTTTCTGTCTCCCAGTCAATTTTTTTGGATCCATCATTCCTTTAATCCCATGGGCTTCAACTTTGCTAACAAGTCTATAATGTGGCACTTATCAATTTGTTATCATTGTTATTAATATTATTAGAGTATTATTATAAGTTGAGTGCTCAGGCCCTAGAGTCGGTGCACAGGAGAGCATTAAATATGATCTGCGGTATTACAGGAATGAGATACCATCACCGATTAGACAGGCCAGAGTTCGAGGTGTGCAGATTTTAAATGGGATTGATGTTGAGTTGCGGGGAGTGTAGAGGTGCCCTTAGGCACGGCTGAAAAGGAAGGTCTTCTTTTACGATCTGAAAATGGGAAAGATGAAGGTGCGGTGGAAGGATTGAATCAGAGAGTTTCTGAGGTTTGCAACTAAGTCACTGTGAGCACAGCCTTCGATGGTAGAGTGGAGGGGATGACGGATGTGCAGGAGGCTGGAGTGAAGGAGCTGATGGATGATGAGGGGTGAGCAGGTTGGAGAATCATGGAGTGGCGAGGTGATACTGTTCTGTTCTATAATAGGGATCCAGAGGAGGTCAGGGTGAGGACTGGAATAATGGACATGTGGAGTTTGCCGTAGGTGACGACACCCACTTCAGAGATTTTAATTAATTGTATTTTATGAATGATGGAGTGGGAGAGCAGGGAATTGGAATAATCGAGGCGGAAGGTGACAAACACATGGATAAGGGTCTCCACTGTATTGGACATTAAGTATGGCTAGAGGCAGGCAATGTGGTGGTCCTGGTCAGGGCAATGATGCGGAGGTGGAGGAAAGCAATCCTGGTCAGGGAGTGGATGTGGGATAGGAAGGACAGCTCGGGATCGAAGCTGACACCTTGGTCACACAGGTTTGGTAAGTTTGAAGAATGGGACAGGAATTTAAGGAGGTTGGAGTCACCGCTAACAAGGAGTATGGCTTCTGTCTTGTCAGCATTCAGCTGTATAAAGTTAGCGCCGATCGAGGACTTGATGTCTGACAAGCAAGAAAACAGAACATCAGCGGTTCTGGTGGAGGAGAAGTAGATTTTGGTGTCCTCTACATGTATGTGGAAGTTCAACCCATGACTTCAGATGACATCCCTGAGAGGAAGCGTGTAAAAGAGGAAAATATGGTAGCCGAGACCGAGCTTGGGATCTTGTGAGCTTTGGGAAATCTAATCCACTTACCGATGCGAACAAGAGCCTCATCCACATCAAACTGATATGTCATCTCTCCGTCCACCAAACCCGGAGTGTCAATAAACGTTACCAGATTGAAGTCTCTCTGCCGTGAGGGGCAAATCTCGGTGCTCAGGTGATCTGTCAAACCTGATACAGATTGTGTTACCAAACCGGGTGCCTGACACATGCGGCAATACATTACATGCTTAAGAGTATCTAAACCAAACTGAGAGTTCCACACCTCCGTACTTCTCTTATCCAATTGAAAGACCTGATACTGTTAACAATAAAGATATTTAGTCCTGTAGCTCAGTGATCAGAGCACTCACTTCGCAAGCGAGAGACCTGGGTTATATTCCCGGCAGGATGAACTGTTGGCCAAATTTCCTTACTCCACATGCCTCTGTTTACCTAGCAGTAAGTAGGAATCCGGTTGTTAGTCAATTGGCGGATCCCTTTTCCGAGGATAATAATCCTTAAAAATAATCCCTTATTATTATCCCATCTAGACATGGAAATGTTTAAGAGAATTATAAGAATGGAAATGCACACACTCTCTTTGGAGGGATGCATCCTGCTTACCTAATTCCAGAAAGCATTAGGCGCAGGTTTGCAGAAGTCAAGACTTGTGGACTCCAGTGTGTGGGTTGGGGTAACTGCTGGAGTCTAACCAGTAAAAACTGCATAACTTGCACAGAGAGTGCACGGCCTGGCAAGCTTTCCTGCTGCTTAGACACCAGCACACTGTATCTGGGTTGCAGGGTTAACAGGAGCTGAGTGGGAAAAGTCCCTGCCCCCAGCGACTGGTCTGCCCTTTCAAGTTCTGCCCATGATCCAGGTTGGTTGGTCTGTCATCAGCAGTGCCCTCGAGCTCTGCCCTGCCTGACTGAGGAACCGGACGAGAGACCATCACAGAGGGTGGACTGATTTCTGACATTCCGTTGCCAGACATGTCAACTTGGAGCCAGTTCACTTCCAAGGAGATCTCGATTATCTCCAAGGAACTGCTGCTGAATTGTGACAGGCTTGCACACTCACCGTTCTACTGAAAAGTACACCAAAAAGGTCAAAGTTCGCCTTGTGAGTGTGAGTATTGAGATCATCTGCCCAGAGAAGGTGTCTGTTACTCATATTTCTTTATCAAAAAGCCTTTTTAGCTACATCTGGATTCCCAGTTCGCAAAATCTAGCTTCTGATTCACGTATTGGATAACCCTGTCTCAGACTACGACACAGAAAAGGCCATCTCACCCCAACCACTCCCTCCTAACCACTTGAGTCTTCACCATGTTCCTCACTCCCACCTCCCCACCTCCCTCCCACATACCCTTCTATTCCTCTCCCTTAAGTGAAGGCCTCTCTCTTCAGTGCATCTACACTATATGATCCAACCACCACTTCAGCTAGTGAGCTCCTCAATCTCACTCACCTCTGTGTAAAGTAGGTCCTCATAAATTATCTTAGATCTCTGAGTCACTATCTAACACTTGTGTCCACTGGCACACACAGTGGAAGCAACCTATTTATGTTAACCTTATCAAATCTTTTCATAATTTTGATTGGGTCCTCTATTAGGTCCTCACTTAAATGTCTGTTCTCTCGCGATAAAAGGCCTAATATATCCAGTTATCCTGATAATAGTAGCTGCCACCTCTCGTATCATCCTTCCAAACCGTCGCGGTACACTCTTACTCATTGCTTTCTCTGTTTTATCGGAACAGAATTGAACACCGTACTCTAAGTGTTACCTTCTAAGGTTTTGTTGGAAGGTAACACTTAGATTACGGTACAAATTCTATATCCCCTTCTCACTCTAATACTCTATGGATATAAAGGTAGCCGTGATCATCTGGGTGTCTGACCCACTTGTAAATCTGTCCCCACTATCAGTCGTGTCTGTGTGATCCGCGAGGAAACATGCTACTATGATCAGCTGTGTGTCTGATCCATGCAGAAACCTATTGCCATGATCAGCTGGAAACACGTTACCAGCATGAAAACACGGCACAGACACACAAGCCCTCACGCCCGCGCACAAATACAAATTCACAATCACAGACAAACGCGCACACTTACACACACATATGCACACACAAACACAGAGAAATACATAGACATTCACATACATACAGACACACATCCAGACACACGCATGCAGGCACATACAATCACAGATACACATATAGACACTCACACACATACAGATAAACACACAGAAACACACAAGCAGACAAATTCACATGCAAATGCATACACACAAATGGATTCACATACACACACACAGACACACAAAGATAGACACAGACATTCAGAAAGGCGCGCACACACACACACACACACACACACAAAGACACACACATGTTTGCAAGTACCTGAAATCTCCTCCAGGTCTTTAAACTGTGGGTACAGATGGAGGGTTGATTTTCCCTGTGGAGTTAACATTGAAGGAACCTGACTCACATCTCAAAATAACAAAAAGGTGAGCTCGCGATCTCTGACGAGTGTCGTGACTGTGTCATTTTTGGAGGCAGACGCAGCGGCCAAAGTGCAAACTACACGGGCACACACCTTTGCACACTCACAGGCACAAACACAAAAAGACACACTCTCACACACAAGCGCACACATGGCTGGGGAAGACAATGGACGTTGACGAAGAGTGTGGCGATGATCATGTGGAGTTTCAGAAGAGTGAGTTGTTGGGTAGGGTGGGGTGGGGGGAGTTGAGGTGGGGAGACAGTGGAATCTACTGAGGCCTTTGGAGATGGGGGTGAGGAATTCAGTGAGCAGCTTCAAATTCAGCAATCAGTGCGGTATTACTCACAGTTAAAGATTCTCGCTTTCGGCCACTGGTGATGAAACTGAAGGCCTGGGTTTCGATGGCGACCCCTGTTCTCTGAACAGACTCCCCGATGTACCTGTAACCCACAGAGGGCAGAGAACTCTGTGAGAAAGGGCCATAGGAGGCAGGGAGCACAACAGACAATGAATACTGTTGATAATCCTCGTGTCTGACCACCAAAACACTCCCACCAACCTCCCGCCCACAGGAAGACATCTCAATGCATTTCAGAGGAGTCACAGAGAGTGGTCCTATCTTCATCAGGATATACAGAATACACCAGCACCTCTCTCGGGCTGCCTAGCCTGTCTACTGAGTCTCAGATCTGGCACTCGTTTCTGTAACCAACTCTTAACAGGGACTGGAATCCGGTAAACCCTCAAACCCAATCAGTCAGATACACAACAACAGTGGTACTGACGATACAGGGATGACAACACATATCCAGGCATAACAACACTACTAGTACTAGGACGACTGCTACAACTAATTGTAATATTACTAATAATCGTTGCATTCGATATTGTACCTGGTCGCACTGCGACGTTTCAAAACGCTTCATAGACGATGCAAAATTTGACTATATGTTGTGGGCCAAACGCAGCAGCCAATTGCGCACATCAGTGTCCCAAAAACAATTGTGGATTGAGTGACCGGATTTCTTGAAGGGGTTATTACTCTCAGAAAGCGATATGCAAATCGACCAACAACTGTGTTCCAAATTACCGCTAGGTAAACAGAGGGATGTGGAAGCAACTGAAATTGCCTGGTGTTTTCGCCCCACCTGGGAATCCAGGTCCTCTCACAAGCGAGGTGCGAGCTGGACAAGCAGCGGGAGAGTGATATCAATGGCAAGCTATGGGGATTTAGCTGGTTAGACTCCAGCAGTTACCCCAACTCAAAAGTTGAAATCCCCAAGCCTTGGATCTTGCCAACCTGTGCCTATAACTTTCTGTTGTTGTGTTCTGGAGGTGTTTCTCTGGAGAGAGTGAGCATTCCAACAATCTAGCTCTGGTATTTCCATGTATAGGTGGGATTCTCATCGTGGTTTGGATAATCGCAGCCATGGTGATGGGCATCTGTATGTGCCAGTTAAACGGCTGCCCCCCCTCCCCCCCCCCCCCCAACCCCCCACCTCCCCCCAAAAGAAAGTCAACAACAGGAAAACTAAAATGGGGCAACTCGAGAACAGCAATGTTTCACAATCAGCCATCGTGTCAATGACGAATCTTAGTGGGTATAATAAGGGTCCAGGGGTTTCTGCCTGTCTGTCTCTATTTCAGTTTCTCTGACTCTCTCTTCTTCTATCAGTTTCTCTCTCTGTCTCTATCTCATCTCTCTCCGTCTTTCTCTGTCAGTTTCTCTACCAATTTCTGTCATGGTCTTGGTCTCAATCACTCTCTCTCTCTCTCTTTCTCTTTGTCTGTCTCTGGCTCTCTATCAGTTTCTCAATCTCGGTCTTTCTGTGTGTCTCTCCCTGTCTATGTTTCTCTTCGTTATCTCTTTCTCTCTCTCAATCTCTCTCCTAAGCTTGGCGTCAAGATCTCCAGCGTCCGTCAGCCCGTCAGCCAACCCACGTGATGAGTAAACACAAGCCGTCATTGTTGTGGTTGTTGTGAAGACGTTACCAGTTGATGAATGAGCTCTTCCCAGCCGAGTGATTCCCCATCACCATCACTGTTATCTTCCTGTTCTGAGCCTGGAGCTTCTCACCCAGGTGTTTGCCGATCGTGATGAGTCCTGTAAAAATACCCGTCATAAAAACATCTGACCTAGCGCCATTTCACCCTCTCTATCAGTCATTCTTTTTCTCTCTCTCTGCCTGTCTGTCTCTCTCTCCAGTTCGGCTTCGAGCTCCGCAGCTGATCAGCACATGGAAACACACCCTACGTGACTGACGCTGTCTCAAGGCGCTTCTCAGGATATAATATATTAATAATAATCTTTGCATTTGATCAGCACCTTATCACGTGATATCCTTCAAGTATACTGTAGATATACAGTCGGTTTTGTGGGTGAAATGCAGGTCCCACAAACAGCTGTTGGGCGAGTGACTGATTTTATTTGTGAGATTGTCGGCATTGTGACATTGTGATAATGAGACGCTCTCTCCCCCCAGCGCTGATAGCTATTAATTGAGCCAGGCTGATACAAAGCGATCGAGCCATGGTGGTCACCCGGCCATTGATCCAGCTTTATGCCAGACCACTGAGCCAGACTGGCACACAATGACTGAACCAGGTTGACACACAGTGACTGAGCCAGTCTGACTCACAGCTACTGAGCCAGTCTGACACACAGCGACTGAGCCAGGCTGACACACAGCGACTGAGCCAGGCTGACACACAGCGACTGAGCCAGGCTGACACACAGCGACTGAGCCAGGCTGACACACAGTGACTGAGCCAGTCTGACACACAGCGACTGAGCCAGGCTGACACACAGCGACTGAGCCAGGCTGACACACAGCGACTGAGGCAGGCTGACACACAGCGACTGAGCCAGGCTGACACACAGCGACTGAGCCAGGCTGACACCCAACAACTGAACTGGGCTAACATGGGAATGAGCAGGGCTGACTGGGACCTTTACCAGCTGAGGTTAGGCTGAGACTTCAATGCCTCCACTGAGTTGTGTGAGTCTCAGATGAACAGCTGCGGATTTAGTTGTAAACAACAACCCGCTGATCTCAGCATCTGGAAATTGAGACAGAAATATGACTGTCCACAAGCGAGAGGCTGATCAGCTGCTGCGGTGTTCTGTTACACTCAGTGAAAAATCAAACAGACACAGAATCAGAAAGAGAGAATGAGTGCGCGAGAGAGAAAAAGATTGAGTGAGAAAGACAGAGAGAGTGAGAGAACAAGAGAAAAAGAGGTATAGAGAGAATCAAAGAGGAAGAGGGAGAGATTGAGTGAGAAAGACATAGAGAGAGAGAGATGAAGTCACGATATGAAACTTGTGGTGTCCCCCGTGCTGACCCCCCTCACCCCTGGACCTTCCTCACCGCGTTCTGGGGCTGTGTAGAGCTGGTGACAATCCCTCAGTATCTTCTCGTTGGTGGACAGATCAGCTCCGTCCTCCGGGCTGCCTGTGGCTCTCGGTGCGGTCTGGCCTGACATAGCACCGAGAAGAAGTGCAGAGCAAGAGAGTGAGGGAAAGAGTGAGAGCAGGAAAGAAGCAGAGAGTATGAAAGATAGAGCAAGGGAGAGAGAGAGAGAGAGAGGAGGGGCGGTGGGGGGGTGGAGAGTGTGAGAGAGAGAGAGAGAGAGAGAAAGAGAGAGAGAGCGTACAAGCGAGGGAAAGAGTCAGTAAGTGAGGGAGAGAAAGGGTAAGGGTAAGGGCAAGGGAGGGAGGGAGGGAGGGAGAGAGGAGAGAGAAAGTGTGGCAGAGAGCAAAAAGAAGAGACAGAGAGTGTGGCAGAGAACGAGAAGGAAAGAGAGAGTGTGGCAGAGAGCGAGAAGGAGAGACAGAGAGTGTGTCAACAAAATACAAAATTACGCAAAATTACATTTCACGTTGGAAGGAAATCACATGGTGCTGGACAGTCAGGGATTCGGACCCAAGCAGCAGGGGGAGTTGGGGTAATGGAGGGTGGAGGGCAGGGAGGGTAGGTAGGTAGCCAAAGGCACGGTTGAAGAGGAGGGTATTGAGACATGCCTTGAAGGAGGCCAGGGAGGGAGCAAGGTGAAGTGAATGTGGGATGGAGTTCCAAAGAGTGGGGACAGAAAGGCTAAAGCCATCTGATGGTGGGCCAGGCTGGGTGGGGGCCCTGGAGCAGTGCCCGCCAAGCAGAGGGAGTGGACAGGTCAATGTGAAGTTAGCAGCGGTGGAGGTCTTTGAAGGCGAGGACGAAGATGTTGAATTCTATCCTCGGGGGGATGGGGAGCCAGTGGAGACGGGCAAGGGTGGGGGTGATGGATTCACAGATCCTGGAGAGGACACAAGCTCCATAGATCTGGATAATCTGCAGCTTGTGGAGGGAAGAGTTGGGAAGGTTGACAAGTAGTCGTCGAGCCTAGATGTGATGAACGTGTGAATGAGGGTTTCAGCGGCCTGAGGGTTGAGACAGTGGTGGAGTTGGGTGATATTGGGGAGGTGGAAGGCAGAATGGGACATGGTATGGATGTTGGGGAATATAGGACAGTTGAGGGTCAAACAAGTTGCCTGGGTTACTGACTGTCTCAGTGAGGTGGAGTGTTCATCCCTGGATTGAGATGCTGCTGATGCCTGAAGTACATCCCCCCAATGTGAAAGGTGCTCTATAAATGTAATTTTGTTGTTGTTGTTGTTGTTGAGGTATGGAGGCGTTGACGGGAGCAAATTAGGAGGGCCTTGGTCTTGTTGATGTTCAACTATAGAAATTTGGCTCTCATCCAGGACTTGATGTCAGACAGACATTCTATCAGGACAGCAGTGGTCCTGAGATAGAACGAGGAGAGAGAGATTGAGTTGGGTGTCATCCGCTTACATGTGGAAGTTGACCCCTTGTCTGCAAATGATGTTACCAGAGGACCAAGGACAGATCACTGAGGAACATAGCACGAGACAGTGCGGGAGCTGGAGGAGTTTGTAGTGATGAAATGGAAATGGTGTGAGAGATGGGATCTGAACCATTCTAGGACAGAACCGTGAAGGTTGACGTAAGAGGGGAGGCGGTGGATGAGGATGGAGTGGTCAACTGTATCAAAGGCAGCAGCAAGGTGAGGACGAGGAAGCAGAGGGAATCCTGGTCACGGATGGACAGAATGTCACTTGTCACTTTGCTCTGGGCTGTTTCTGTGCTGTGGGCGGTATGGAAACCCGATTGGAGAGGTTTGTGAAGGGAGTAGCGGGAGAGGAAGGAGCGAAGCTGGGAAGCCACGACTCATTCCAGGAAATGGAGAGGAAAGGGTTGGAGATGCGGCAGTCGTTTGAGAGCAGGAATGGGTCCAGGGAGAGTTTTTTAGGGTGGGAATGGTACCAGTGGACAGTGAGAGGTTTATGATGTCTGTGAGAAGAGGGGCAAGGAGGTGGAGTTGGGAGGTAAGGAGAGGGTTAGGAATGAGGTCGAGGGAGCAGGTGGTCGATTTCATTTGGGTTATAATGGTGGTGAGAGAGGAGGAGGAGAAAGGTTTGAAGGTGTAGAGGGAGGGATGGGTAGGGGCCGGGGTGGGATGCGGAGATGGGGAGGAAGGACAGAAGCAGCTGAGAGAATCCCCTCGACTTTGGATTGGAGGAAGACCAGCATCTCCTCACAGTTGGCATTGGAGGTGAGGATGGGAAAGCCATGAAAGGGTGGGCAGAGGAGCTGGTTGGTGATGGAGAAGAGGAACCTGGAGTTGTCTTGGAGTAGAACAACGATTTAGCAGAGGCGAGGGCGGTGCGGTAAGATTTGATAAGGTCCAGCCAGATCTGCCGATGGACCGTTAAGTTGAATTTGAGCCAGGTGCAATCAGTGGTGTATGTACCTATGCTTTAAGGTGAGTAGAGGTGACTGGTGTGCCATGGTGAACTTTGTGAGTAGGAGATGGTTCAGGAAGTAAGGGGAGCAAGGGCATCGAGAGTGGTAGATAAGGAGTTGTGGAGGAGAGTGACCAAGGAGAATAGTTCATTGTTGGAGGAAGCCCAAAGGGGGAGGAGTTTGGATGACTCCAAGGTATCGGGGAGAGGAGGGGGGAGATTTTTTCCAGCGGTTAGAGATGAAGGTGGGTCGGGTGGAGGTGGCGAGAAGGATTGAGGAGTTAAGGGAAATGATTGGATGGTCTGAAATCACTTTGTCGATGATGGTGAGGTCCGAGACAGTGAGGTCCTGAGTGATCCCCAGGTCAAAGGGATGATAATGGACATGGGTGGTGGAGTGGATGTGGATGGAGCGGTTGATGGAGGAGATAAGGGAGGAGAAGTCAGCAGAGGTAGAGCAGGAGGGAGTGAAGGTTGAGGTCGCTGAGGATGAGGAGGCATTCAGAGCAGAAGGAGAGGGTAGGTAGAAGGGTGGAGATGTTGGGGAGGAAGGTCGCTGAGGGTTTGGGGGGTGCAATAGATTACAAGAATTTTGAGGGAAAGGTTGGAGGGGTGATAAAGGGTAAGCTGCTCAAAGGAGGGGGAGGTTCTGGAGGAGTAAGAGGATAGGCGGAGTGGACACTGGGACATGAGAGAGACACTGCCATAACAGTCATTGGGTATGAAGGATGGTGTAGCCGGGTGGTGCGGCCTCCATCGGGGGAAGGTCTTGCCTGGAGTGACCCAGGTTTCAGTGAGGGCGAGAATGTCGATGTTTCATTGACAATGAGATCTTGGATGGTGAGTGTTTTATTGGAGAGGGAACGGATATTTTGTAAGCCGATGCTGATGGGACAGTTTTTGGCAAAATGTGGGGCATGGGCGTAGGAAGGGGGAGGATTGCCAGAGAGGGTGGGGATGTGGATGAAGGAGGAGAAATTGGCCCTTGGGGTCCGGTGCCAATTGGCCTTGCAGCGAGAATAGGGCATGGGCAGGCAGAGTGGCTGCTGTTGGACAGCCAGGGGCGTCTGGACCCAACGGAGGGTTCACAGGATGGAGCAAAGGGAGGCAGTGGGACGGTCAAGCAGGGATAGGAATTGGAGAAGGCGGGGGGAGAGGGTGGGGGGAGATTAGAAATGATCGGGTAAAATGGAGGGTAGAGGACAGGGGTGGGAGCATTTTGGGCAAGCAGCTCAGGTCGGTGGAAGTAGCCAAAATGTGTACGTCAAGACTAAGAGCGAACGGGGTGGGGGGGCGGGTGTACTGGTTGGGGGCGGAGGGGGGCCCGGGGGTGGGTGGGGGGGTTAGCGTGGCATGGTTAGCCCGCTGGAGTGGATCATCATGGGGAGAGGGGGACAATGTTATAGTCCTGAGTCCAGAAATGGCTGCGATGGCACTTTGGACCAGTCATGGCGACATTATGGGATATTATACATAGGTAGTTTGGGCATATGTGCAAGCAACTGCCAGGAAGGTGGAAGGCAAACTAGATGGACCTTGGTCTTTTTTTTTTGTCTAGTTCTTTCTCTCTATCCCTCAGTGCAATACGTGTACATTATCTGCATACATATTGTGGAATCTTGTAGCTCAGTGGTTAGAGCACTCGCCTCACAAGCGAGAGACCTGGGTTCAATTCCCAGTAGGTCAAGGCATTGGGCAAAGTTTCCTTACTCCACATGCCTCTGTTTACTTAGCAGTAAGTAGGAACCCAGTTGTTAATAATTTTGAAGGGATAATAATTCCTTCAAAAAAAATATTTTAAATTGGTCACTCGATCCATATCTGTTTGTGGGACACTGCTGTTCCCAATTGGTTTGCGCGTTTCGCCCACAAAATATACAGTCAATTCATTTTACAATATACTCTGACGCTTTGTGACGTCTTGAAGACGTGACAAGGCGCTATATCAAATGCAAAGATTATTATTATTATGAGCTATCAATCCCCATGTTTAAGAGTACCAAAGCCAGTTGAAGGGTTCCACATAAATATGTTTACCTAGATATGGAAAAGTCCCCATGAGATTAATTAAACATCCAAACCAGCGAGGAGGGCATTAGAATAATCCAGTTGGGAAGTGATGAAAGTGTGGACTAGGATTTTCGTTGCTTTGGTTGTGAGCTATCGACTGAGGCAGGCAATGTGACGGAGGTGGGAAAAAGTGATCCTGATCAGGGAATGGATGTGGAGCAGAAAGGAAAACTGAGGATCAAACCTGACGCCTAACGTGTGCGTGGGTTTGGTGAGTCTGAGGGAGAGCCTGGGAAGATTGAGGAGTTCAGACCCACAGGAGAGAAGATGTTGATGGGAGCCAAGATTATGGCTTCTGTCTTGTTGACATTCAGCTGCAGGAAATTTGCATTTATCGAGGCCTTGATGTCCATCAAACAAGCTGACGAAACATCAGTGGACTGGGACTCATAGCTGGAGGAGGAGAAGAAGATTTGGGTGTCATCTGATACATGTGAAAGTTGACCCCATGTCTGCAGATGACATCGCTGAGAGGGAGCATGTAGATAAGGAAAAGAAGGGGCCAAGGATGGAACCCCTTGGGGTATCCCTCGGATGATCAGGCGGGGACGCGAGGAGAAAATGCTTGCTGAGATATATTGTTGGCGGCTAGTTAAGTAGGACTCGAACCATGCGAGTGCTATCCCACAAAAGTGGATGAGGGAGGAGAGGCGGTGGATGAGGATGACTGAATCGACTGTGTTGAACACGGCAGAGAGCTCAAGGAAGACAAGAACTCAGAGGGAGCATCATTTGTTACTTTGACGAGCGCTGTCTCTGT